GAAATTGCAGGCGGCTGCACGCGATGGCAATAACGGGCTACACCACCGGCGTAACCGCAGACAAAGCAGATGAGCTGGTTGTTGGGTGTGCGCCATCTGTTCACAGGGGTAAGTCTCATCAATGTCAAAATGGCCAAAGGATGGAACAGTGGCTGCATGGTGGGCTGAAGCTGAGGCTGAGGGGTTACGTCAACATATGTAGCGGGCATACCCGCTGCAAAGGACGGAGGTCAAGCAGCAGCTTCAGCGTAGGTTAAAGGAGCGTTTGCTGGAACGACTCGAGGTGGCCTGGTGACCACTTGGGCGTAACTCAGGGGCACGATGCCTTTCATGATGTTTCGGATCTTGTAAGACTCAGACATTGTGTAATTGCATTTGTTGCATAAGTCCAGGGCATCTTCAATATAGCTGGTGACTGCCTCGCCAGCCTCCTGAGCATGTTCACGTAAGCGCTGCTCGGCTTGCAGCTTGGGAACAGCAAGGCGGCCAAAATCGTTGATGACAGCAGTCTTACGATCGGACCAGGTTGCAAAATCGGACGCGTTGCTGTACCACAAACTGGCAACACTTGCAACGCAGAACACCAAGTTGGTCAGCTTGCCGTCCTCGTTTTATTTCTTGGGGACGCTCACGCGCTCGTAAGTGGCGTGAGCCAGCTTCCACGCCAGTGCCATCAGCGTCAGTGAAGATGGGTGGATCGCGGATTCTAGGGACAACGGGACAAGGGGGTGGCATGGGAGGAGGCGTTTGCTTAGAGGCCTCGTAGGACATGGTATATGGCTGGGTAGGTGATCGTGGCTCCAAGGGCATCGAAGGGGATGGCAGCACTTTCAACCAATTTGTTAAGGTGTTTATTAGCCGGCAACCAGCGAGCTTACACAATGGCGACCGCCACCGCCAAGCGCAGACTCTCTGAAAGAGTGGCGTCCTTGTTGAGTAGCCCCACTAGAAGGTACTCAAGGATTCTACCCATTTCACAGTTTCAAGGTTTCGCTACAACATTACATATGTACTCCTTTGAAACAGCCGTCACGTCAGGCTATCGTGAATTGTGGTTAGTTGCGACGTGCTGAGTTTGATCTATGCAGAAGTGCTCAGGACAGCATCAGCGCTTCACATGAGCTTTTGATGCTGATAATGCACATGTTTCAGTTGACATTGTTGCGTAAGTGCAAATAACTGGTTATGTAAACGTCTGCCCCTCTTCAAAATATGCATGCGCGTGCAGCATTTGTTCATATATTTAGCGTCAATATTGACGAGTCGCTCAATAGAAAATTGCAATAAGGTCACTTTTTCTCCACATGCTTCGTATGACGCTGATTTCTAGGTACGTGGGATCTCCATTTTTTTAAGTTATTAAAGCTGGCTTATCTTTAATGAGCGTACTACACAATTCGGTGAGCAGACGCTGTGAAAATGGTAAGCAAACGACATGTCGTGGATGAGTACATGTGGAGAGGCTATGCAACCTTCATAATGGCTGAGGGAACCTGTAGCCCCCACAGGGCTCAAGGGAACTTGGGAATTATGACACACGAGTGAAGCCGTGCTTATGGCGAGATGGCGGCTGCAGCAAACATCTTACTAGCGGCCAGATATAGTATGATTATGAAGAAACCTCTTCACTCGCACGCTCATGAATATTAATGTGAAAACTTTTTCGCGCCAAATCGTGCTCCAAAGTGCGTCTTTGTGGTACTGGTTATCCTTACTGGTTATCCTATCCACAGTTCATGGCGAAGTTTTTTGGAGATTCAGTCTCCCATTCTCGTTTTTATGTGGTACTTTGTCGGGAACAACTATCTTTTATCATTGAGTTAACGTAGCATATACACTAACTTAACAAAGCCATTTGATCTCTTAGTAGACACTACCAAAACGAAGAGCATGTTTCTGACATCTTGGCAGGGCAAAAGCTGCCTGGACTTCTGCTGGCAAGGCGCTGTTGGATCTTGCACTCTAGCAATTCTTCTTTCCACCTTCTTTATCTAGCCAAAGCTTAACATTCATGGTAGTAACCAATAGCCTGTTCAAGCAACCTTTGTGCATGAGAAGCCTTCCTTAGTTCGATCAACATACCATTGTGGGCCCTAAAACCCGCACACGGGAGGCAGCAGTCACAAGTTATTTAGAATTTCACGCACTTTAAACAAACGCTGGACAAAACAATTGATCAGCGTGGTTATCTTAACGTGAATGAAAAATTTTTTTATATCTCCATTAGGACTAAAAATGTTTCTTTGGATTATTTTTCGGGATTAAGTTTTCAAAAAAATTCATTATTTGGCCAAAATTGTTACTTTTTATTTTATACGGATAAAAATTATTCTCACGCCTAGATAAAGCTAAGAACAATACAGTACTCGTTGGATATGACGGTAGCACTCATTTTAAAGATGATAGTCTTTCTTACGGAGCTTTGACGCAAAAATTTTCGTATGCCTGTCTAATTGTCCGTTTGTCCGCCCTCAACGGTACCTAAACGCCTCCAAAGTGGCCGATCAATACTCCAAATGGCCAACCACATCCGCAGCGCCCACCAATATTGCTCAAGGTTCAGCGTTTATACATGCGTGATTGAAAATTAAAAAACAATTACTACGAATATCTGAGACACCATAACAACACGTCAATATTCTGTATGTTTGTCTTTTACTAGAAAAAGCATACATAAGTAAATATAAGCACCGTAGCGTTTATGAAATTGCGCTGAACCGGCAACGCTTGCACGAAAAGGCAAGTGTTTCCAACGCTTTGCTAAGACGACATGGTGGTGGCACCAACCCGTCGCCTTCCGTTCTACCCCTTATTTACTCCGAGACGGGCTCTTAGGGCGCACGCGCTTCGTTTCCTAAGATAACTGCCACATAGCGCTCGTGCCTCACGTGTGACGTGACTTGATGCGCTCGTTCGCGTCCGCTCCGCGCTCGAGGCATTCTCACGTAGAGGCTCCTGAATGCCGTTCACCTATTTTCTTGCGCAGATATTCAAATAAACACTTTGTTCACTCTCTCCAGGCACAAGACTATCGTATTTCGACGACATTTGCACTCTAACATGCAAATACGGGGCGAAGGTTTTGAAATTTTTATTGCTTGGTGCGCTTTAGCTCTAATAACCTGAAAGTCCTCAGTTTATGTGCCTAGGACCCTATGTAATTTTTGATATTTTTGTATTCGCACACTTAGTTGGGCTTGTAGTTGTGTGTTGTGTACATACTGATATGTACTTTCTGCTGTATATTTCTCGTTCAACATATATATTACACGCGATTTACATAAGCTTTAGTGTAGGACTTCAAAAAATAAACTAGGACATGAGAGAATGAAAATGTTGTATCGCATACAGAGTTCCGCAGTACTGGTTTTAGTGTTCAACTTTGCAACACTGTATGTATTTGTGGAGCGTCAATTCAAGAAGGCATTATGCAATTGCTACAATTGTGGGCAAGTTACGTTCCTCCTTCGATACTGCGTCCATAAATGAAATTATGCTAAGAACTAACAGCAACTCTTTATAGAAAAAAGAAGAAAACGCCAGGCCTGCGTGAAGGGCTAACCACAGTTACAGCGAAAGCCGGAAGAGCGGCCTTTCAAAGCCTTTTCTAAACGAGTATCTAGTAACTGCTGCAAGCACACTTGGTTGATGACCACTAGGGCAATAATGATAAAAACTTTAGGGTAGTAGTCCAGCATTCACTTTGCTATTTTTCTTCAATCTTCTGAGAAGCGTAGAACCCGCTAAACTATTGCGTGAAACTTAGTGTCAGTTGTTCATGCAGTTGCTGACGACAAAGAGGAGTGATGCCTGACGTGGGTATGCGCCACAGGTATTAGCTGAACAAAAACAAGCTTTTGGAATGGGTTTGAGCAACGGACGACAAATTCGTTATGCTATTCGCATTGTGCGACGACTTCTTGTTCTTTTGCTGTTTTAAAACGGCGTATTATAGGCGTTAGAGGTCGTGTTTTTAAAGTCGTATGAACGCGATTGCTTTGCCGATGTCAAGCCTGCCTAAGGCAAGTTTGCCAGCAAATCCCAAGCACCGGCGTTGCTCAGTGGTGCACCAAGCGCACCCGTGTTTGAGCCACACTGTGTCAGTGGTACTAGCTTTTTTTTTCTAAATTCGCGCGAGTGGTCACGGACAACGGCAGCAGTGGCGGTGGCGAAATACTACGACACTGCTCGAGACCCGAGTTAAGAGCTCATAACAGCTTTCGCTGTAAAAAATGATTTTGATGAAACTCACAGACGACTGGCCGTCGCCAGTTTACTATTAACATCAATTATAATAATGGTAAGCCAGACGCACATACATCCACATTCACCGATGATGCACTCATGCTGCCTCTCAGACACACCCTCAACTGAATTATTCTTAACAGCTTCACTCTTCTTGAGACCTATAGTCCTAAACACAGTTAATATGGGTTATTCGACTGCTGAATAGGCTTGGCGATGAATAAACTTCGAAGAGTCGGTTGTGCCCAATAAATGCATTATTATTTGAAGAAGCAATTTTATTTACGAGTTATGAGTGAGGGAATACTAACGCGTTCTTGAATGCAGTTAGTAAGAATGAGAGGAGCTTGAACATTTTCTCTAAAAGTTTGCTGTGCAGAGGCTTTTTTTCAACCAGGAATGCTTCCTTTCACAGCAACCACTCAGGTTTAACTCTCTAGCTCTATTGCACTCAATCACTCATGCTAGTGCATTATTTCCGCTCCTACATGCATCTCTTCTTACTTAGGAGATGTAATGATGGGAGAAAATACCACACACCAGCTTTTCTGTGTTATTTAAGTCACTGCGGCTGCTATGTACTATTCCCAAAATCTGACAAACATACGACATTTTTTGAGAATGTCGTAGTTTCTACACAAGAGGAACTTGCTGTTTATTTGCAAAAGAACAATAAATGTTTTCAAGTGTTACACTCTAGATGCGTCTCTGCCATGTTTAAGAATCCGTTGACTAATATATGAATAGGTACGCACTTTTTTTCCCATGAATCGCTGTCCTGAAACGAAAAACAGGTAAATAGTATTAGCTGGAGATAACAAAAATTACTTTCATAGCACTACTTCGCGTATTTGAAAGATCTGTCAAATGAGCACACTTTACTGGTACTCAAATGTGAGCACACTAACCTCAATCTGTAGAAATTTAACCCAGCGAGGAGGTCACGTTGATTAGTTGTGAGCGAAAGTGCTCCAATACACTATTGTGTAACTATTCTATGATCCATTTAACTTATAACCGCAAAGTTGAGATACTTCAATTTATAAAAGAAACGAAAACAATGTTTGCTTCTATTTTATCCACGATGAATAAATTTTTTTACAATGCGACACCCAATATAAAGTACTCAATCCATGGATAACAGGTGAGATGTAGTTTCGGACCAAGATCTCGAATAAGTAACATTTATTTCAAATTTGACATAAATGTGTTGTCATTATTCTTAAACTGCACACACAATTGAATCATAGCCCCAAACACATTGAAAATCAACTTTTATTTTGCAAAAATAGCCGTTCAATGTTTTCTGGACAAAAACAATTGTGAAGCTATCGAGAACCTTCCTGTGTAGCTGCGGCTACACAGGAAGGTTCTCGAAGGAGGACCGTAAGTGGTTATCCACATCTCTCACACAATAGTTGATCACTTGTGGACAGAAGACATGAACGTGTTGATTGTGTATGTCGTGTTCTGAGGCTTGTAATTCTTACTTCTGTGTGCCATGGCTTTAATAGCGACGGCCAGTTACCTTGTTGCGGCTTAATAGCATGGAGTTTATTGTCTGTGCGTTGATCCTACGTGCTCTGTCAATACCCCCGAGCTTTCGTTTTAGAAATGGTTTCAAGTTAAGTGTAGGCATCGGTATTGGTGCACTAGAATTGTTGTAGTTGGCGGAAGGAGTTAGCTTCTCCGCAAAAATGTTCCCTTGTATCTCGCAGTACCTTGGCACCCAGCAGACAACTACATGCTGTTTTGATGCGTACAGTGCGCACAGAAGTTAGTAACGTGACACCATCATTGGGTTTTGTGTTTTTAGGATTTTTTAGGGCTGTAACCAAACTTAGGAAATCTGTGTATATTACCGCCTTTTTGTAATTATACCTGTTTGATGTGTCTTACGTTTGCCAGTATGGCATGACCTTCTCCTGTGAAAATGCTTGCATCATAATGAAGAACGCCGGCCTAAGAAAAGAATTGGCCTACCGCTGCAAATGACACAAGAGTGTTGGACTTCGAGGCATCAGTAAAGAACTCAGGGCATGTGTATTTATGTTGTAATTCTACGAAGTATGTATGTATGAGTGCAAGCGGAGAGCATGCTTTTTGACTTGCACAAAAGATACACCATAGTCTATAAGCTGCCACTACCACGATGGCAGATATGTGGCACGAGTCATCAAACTGTGTTCAAGAAGACGCACACCTGTTTCTTCAGCCACGCCCCTTACACGGAGCGAGTAGGGCTGCCTCATCAAGTACAGTGCTCAAACCAGCCGGAACAAGACAATTCATTATTTGTGAAATGAGAGGGGTGTTGCTTGTCTGCCTTCACCTTCAGAAAATACAAAAAAGAAAGGTAACATCTCTGTTATGTTTTGCCGCTCATAAGTTGATCGTGCGGATGGGACAGCACCAGAAGCTACGTTATTCAAAGCTTCTTTCTCGGATCTCTCTCGGCAAGATCGAGAAAGATCCGAGACGAAAAATTCCGAGAAAAAAAAAGATGTGAGAAAAAAAATTATCTCGGACGAGCCCTCATTTTTTTGGAGGTAATGAAAACTTGAAGGTATATTACAGCGAAATATTTACAGTCATATGTACATCTTGCTGAAGCACACTCATGATGACACAGACATCAACAGCGTCTTACTCATCTACTTAACTTTTCTTAAGTTACGGCCTAGAACACTGTTACTACATACGACGTACTGAGTCTGACTGTTCGACCACCAAGTGGTTACGGCCCAGACAAAAGTTGCATCGTACGGAGTCGTACTGATCTATCAGTTAAGTGATTGCAGCCTCGACTGAAGAGAAACGGATTCCCTCCAGTCTTAAGCATCTTTCGGTAACAAAGAAAAAGGGGAGGTGGCCACTGCTGGTCCGCCTCAACATTCTCTCATCCAATCTGTTTCCACTCAGATTAAGTCACTCCCTACTGGGCTGACCTTACTCTCGACAGCAGCGCTTCTACACTTTAAACAGGCGTTTTGGTACTCTTTTTTATCATGTCTCTCTCTCTCCACCTCCCACGTGCTCAGGAATTTTCTCGCTCGGGAGATATCGGCATTGTTGACCCGGTACATTCATGCCTTTTCCCACACCCAGCGAGCCGAGACGAATCTCAAAGCCGGAAGTGAAATGATCGCGCGCGGAACATTATTGCCCCCGCAAGTAGCAATCGGCCTTCTTGTGTTCGGGTCGTGCATCGCTGCGACTTTGAGCCGATCGCCAGGGCAGAGCGTGTCGCCTACTCCGACTGAGCTCGCGCCCGGCAGCGGAGGCAGGACGGGGTCGCTTAATCCCATTGTGCGTTTGCCCCCGGCAGCGGCGACTTGTCTCTAAACCACAAACATTCCAAGCCGGTTGGCAGAGCGGGTTCGTTCCACATTGTGTGTTTGTCCCCGGCAGCGAAGGAGATGGACGTAGTTTGCATTCCAGAGGATAAGTGGTGTACAGTTACACGGGCATACCGAGAGAGAGTCGAGAAAGAAGCTTTGTATAACGTAGCTTCCCGCGCTGTCATCCCATGCTCAAAGGAAGCAATTTGCGACCTTGTCGAGAGAGATTCGAGACAGAAGCTTTGAATAACGTAGCTTCTGGTGCTGTCCCATCCGCACGATCAACTTATGAGCGGCAAAACATAACAATCTCCGTAGGTGGAGCGACCATTCATTCGAATCCACGTACAGGCACTCAACAAGGCTAGTTTGAAAAGCACTCGTAGAGAGCCGAATGCGTATATCGTGGACAGGGTCGAGAATCTTCAAGGCTGACGGCGTCCCAGACTGACAGATTATAACACCATAATCTAGGCGTGTGCGTACGAGGCTTTATGCAAATACATCACTCATTTACTATCGCTACCCCACGTCGTGTATGACAATACTTTCAAAGTATGCATTGTTTTTAAACAGCTATCTTTTAAATACTTGATTTGTGGGATGAAGGTTACTTTTGTGTCTAATATTAGTCCAGAAAACTCGTGCTTTGTCTTCACTGACAGAGGTTTACCATGCAGGTCAATGTCGGGGTCAGGATGGATGCACCTCCTTCGACAGAACAAGACGCACGTGCTCTTTTGCGCGTTGACTATTAAACCATTCTCATCTGCCCATTGAGATACCTTGTTCAACCCTAGTGGAACCTGACGTTGGCACAATGAGATGTTGCAAAATTTAAACCAATCTTTACATCATCGACGTATCTGCAGTAAAAAATATTATGTGCGAGTAACAGGTGCGAGGAATTCATTTTAACTGAAAAGTGTGCAGCTTGATAAACCTCCTTGTGGCACTCCTGTTTTTTGGACAAATATTCAAGATGAGACAGTGCCAACTCAGACACGGAATGTCGCACAAGTAGTTTTCTATGATTGTCAGCAATCTGCCCCCCACACCTAAATGTGACAGGTCTCGCAATACGCCAAAGCGCCATGTAGTGTCTAATGCCTTTTCCACTTGGAGTAACACAAAAAGAAAAAGTGCTTATGAACAAGAGCGTCTCGAGTTTGTGCCTCGATACAGACAATGTGGTCAGTCGTAAACTTAGCCTCTCCAAACCCGCACTGGCATGGGTCAAGCAGGCCATTAGTTTCAGGGAAGTGCATTGGGCGCCTGTTATTCGTTTTCTCAAGCGTCTTGCAATAAGAGTTGCATGACGCTATTGGTCAGTAGCTGGAAACTGAGGAAGGGTCCGACCCTTATTTTAGAATTCGGAGACCAATTGCTTCTTTTTAGGCTGAGGGTAGCTTGTCGGAAGACCATATCGCATTATAGAGGGAGAGGAGCGCTTTCTCGGTTTCAGTGGGCAAGTTTTTAACATTTCTTATGCCACGCTGTATGGGAATAGGGTAGAATAATTTCAGCGTGTAAGTGAGGCTTTTAGTTCCGAGTAGAATAATTGCAGCTCGTAAGTAAGGCTTGTGGGTCCGCCAAACAGAAATGTTTATTGTATACCTCTTAGATTGTGGGTTCGCGCTTTAATCGCTGTTATTTTATTCTGGTTTTGTATCGTCTGAACGCTTCACTGTAGTGCAATGATCCGGAGACCCGTTCGATGTGCGCTTTGAGAGTGCTGCATAGTCTTACAAACTCTCCTTTTGTGTGTTCACTAGACGAAGTGAATGTTGCTTGTCGTCCTGCCACCTTTCCAACCAAGTTCCAGACTCTTGCCTCATCTGTGTATGAATTTGTGCCTGATGAAAATTTGTGCAAACTTTCCCTTCTTGCCTGTCGGCGCATCCTTCTTCCTTGCGACTTGATGCTCTTAGAGTTTACAAGATTCTCGGCTGTAGGCGAGTCTCTAAGCAACTTCCATGCCTTATTTTGTTTTCACGCGCCCCATGGCACTCATTATTTCACCATGGGACTCGTCGTTTGCCTTATGGTGCACATGTTTGTGGAGTAAATTTCGTTGCTGCATGAACCAAGAAAGCTGTAAATTAGCACACAGCGTCCTCTATGCTTAACGCCCCCATGTCAGTCCAAGTTAAAAGAGTCATTTTTCGAAACTGTTCCCAATTGTCTTTGTCGGTAAGCCATTTGAAAATCTGTGCAGGACACGTATTTGTTATTGATGTGCAGATAACAATAGAAAAATAGTTCCACCGTATGGTATAAAATGATTTCTCTTTTAAGTACATTCGCGAATGATGGAGGTGTTATGCTGAGGTTTATTGTTGAGTACGTATTGTTAGCGGTGTAGTAATATGTTGGCTCTTTTTGATTCATAAGGCATGCACCGGAATAAATACGGAACTATTCAATCAGGTGACAT